TAGAAGAAGTTTAAGAGCAGGGGCATAGCTACTTGGGTATCTGTTTCACACTGAAAAGCTTTCTAGATTTTTAGTTGTATTGTTTAAAATATTTATGTATTTTTCCATATCATGCAAATCTTAGTCTAAGTTCAATACTAAGCAATTTACAGAAACCCAAATTGCTTTGACTATTTCATATAAAGTAAAAAACCTTTATACTTTACATTGTTCAATGATAGGCAGCAAGAAGAATCTTATACTTGAATCAGGGGTAAATATGACTTTTATTTTTTTGAAACATAATTTCAATATAATTTAAAAAGACCAAATGAGCATCACAAATTCAGATTTAAATAAAAGTTAACACAATAAAACATCTTAATAGTTTTATTTTAAAATGATGTAACACACTTGCTATTAACATGTAAGGCAACAAATGCCCTAAGAAAAATGCCCATAACCTTTATAACTGCCCTTTGACAATAGCAAATAACACATAATCAACATGGAGTTGTTTTTTCTGCTTTGACAAGAGAAGTAAAATTATAAGCACAACAAAAACCACAAAATAAAAACTTAGTCTACTATATAACAACAAGCTATCTTTGCTCTCTTGTGCGACAAGCGCTCGGAAGGCTGACCAGGAAGTGAGACAGTGGCTGTGGGAGGGTGAGGCTGGCTGTTCCATAAACATGGGAGACTTACTAAAACTTGAATCAAGGAAAATACCGTCTTCTTCATGTATTTCTCTGAAATGAAATAATAGTTCATGGTAAAGTAATTTCTAAATATGCCTGACTCTATGACCTTGAACTTGAGAGGTTAAAAAAATGTGTCACACATTTGTGGGATGCTGAAGAACCAAGACATATCAATATAATTATGGTATCTTATTCGGAGGTTGATTCCAAATTCCTCATTCATGACCTGTGAAACACTTCTCTTGTCTTTAAAGCCAACATTAAGGCATGCCAAGTTTCCTGTAAGAAAATCATCCTAATGATAGCTTTGGATATTACAGTTCTGTAGTGATAAAATATTCTCCTAAGACATATATAGACTCAAGTGTACAGAAACTTGCACACTAACAAACACAAACCACAAAAACACTCTTAACTATTAGCCACGGATTTTTGAAGTCAATTTTATGTATTTAAAATAACATCTCTTTACAGTGCCAGTGCAAGAGTCAGGCAAATTATTTCCCAAAGCTTATGCTCATAAAAGTTGGAAGGAGAGAATATTATAAGATTCTGTGAACCATAAAATGATATAGCTGAAAATCAGCTGAAGGACAATATGTTAGTTCTTATGAATTCTTTTATACTGGGAAAAGCCAGTGAGACTTCATTATAATTCTTCTCATTATAGTCATTCTTTATGTCCAATTCTTGGAAAGGTTAAACCCCATTACAGAGAACTGTAAGGATCTGTCTTATTCCTTTGTCAGAGTGGAATATAGTTGGTAGTGTTAAATCTCGCCGAAGAGGTGAACCACTGCTGAGGTTGTGAATCTCTTTTGAAAGACCACATCGTTGCGGTAGCCGTAATTGCTACAGTGGAATCTGACCTTCAGATTCAAAAACCTTCTCCTTTCAGTTATAGAAAACATTTTTTCTTTAACTTTAGATGATTAATCCAGGTGAGGTTTTGCATGTGCCTGTCACACATGAAAGATGAAGGCTGAAATGTTCGAGTTCTCTTGCCTAACATTTTTACTTGTCACAGAAAAGTAACAAAATGTACAGTCACTTGGCTTCAGACTCTTAATGCCCAGTATTCAACTGGCATTAACGCTCACTCATTCATTTATTCTTACACCCGGAGGCAAAGGTAAGGCACAAATAAATTTGGAAGGGCAGTCTCTGTCTACATTTGCACCTTGAAGGACTTGTTCCAGCACTGGTCCAACTCGGACCCTAAAACAAATAAGTATGAGAGGGAGGGACTCAGATTATTTTAAGCAGAGAGTAAAGCAGGTGAAACTGGTATGAAGGCGGTATCTAGGTGGCAGAGTCAAGAGGCGCAGCGGCCGCGGGTAAAAGCACCCACAGGCACCAAGAACTTCATGCGTCCACACTGTCCTGGGCTCCTCTAACCTGTAAGTCGGCTGTAAGATGGCAAGTCTGGGGAAAGGACATTCCCCTTCTGAGAGGGCCAGTACATCGTATGACATGGTCTGCTTCAGGAGCTCCAAGTGGCTGGAAAGGACACAGAACGTCGCACAGAAAACACTTCCACTCTGCCACAGACAGTTTCAGGGGCCCTAAAAAGGGACAGTTTATTGAAGTCATTAAGAGGATTAAACTGCCCATCAGCAGCACACAGAGATGGAGAAAGATGGCTTTCTTTCTGATGATACTCACTCCTTTGGGCTGCACTGTTGAACAATTAGGAAGGTGACTCTGAGTTTGGTTTTCTAAAACCTGAAACATAAGTTAAAGATCTAAACGATGAGCCTTTGAGAAAAGAGTTTTGTTTTACCAGGTCTCGCAATAAAAACTCTTATAGATAACAACCAGCACCATATTGAAGAGACAGATATAAGGTCATAAATCTCCACGAAGGATTCAAGATCAGCACCATAGCTATGGTCTGTTCAATGTCTGTAACCTTTATCACCTGACCTTGCTAAAGTACTTCCAAATACATTATTTCAAGGCGCTCAAAACCCTCTGCATCCGATTGGAAACAACATGTCTAAAGATAAGGTCTTTCAGTTGCCTGTGTTACTATCCTTTTACATTCAAGTGATCTTCACCTTGAATTCAGGCTCTGACAGGACAGCATAAATGCAGCTTGGAAAGAGCCATCCAGAGGATTTTCTGAATGGGCTCCCTTGATCTGATGTTCTGCCCTCCTATGATTAGAACCTTAAAATAAAGGTTGAAATAAGCATTTACTTCCTACATTTCCATTTTAAAAATTTATTCTGACTTGTTAAATCTTTTTCCCTCTGAATATCTTCTTGTTCTAATCTCTCTAGCCTAATCTCGTTTTACACACACTCACACACGCACACACCTCCTTCACATCGTATCAGAACTGTATATTATTTGTTAACACTGCAAAATCTATTAAATGCTTCCAAATGAAGAGCTAAAAAGCTTTAGTTTTTCTCCTTTATCATTAGTTTTACAGAACTGAAAAAACCTCCCAGCACTTGATTCTTAAATTTGTCTGAAAATAAGCTGAAAATCAGTCCACACAATTAATTCAGCTTAGTTTGTGATTTGGCAAAATTAATCTTGTTCATCAATAAGTAAAAACAAAACTCCACTGATCCCACTTAGCGTCTATGAATAAATATGCATTCTTAAAATGTGTTAAAAGAAAAAGACCAAAAAACCAGCTCCACCCTACTCACCCAGCCAAGCTGTAGATCACACCCCAATTGCCTCAGCATCAGCCAAAGAGGGCCCTCAAGCAGATTAGAACTTGACAGTTGATAAACCTTCAGAACATGAAATTTATACCGCTGGTAAGCTGGCCTCAACACAAACCGCAAAATGAGAGTCACAATACAACAAAGACTTTGTTCAAAAAGCACACAGAAGCAGCAACAGAAAACAGAAAGCGTCTGTACATTGTCCCAATTCTTTCTGACTCAATAACGGTCTGTTCTATAGCTTTATCTAGCTTCCGCTGATGGCCAATATTTCTCATTTTTACCTAATAGCTCCTTCCCATAGCCATCCTCTCTATTTTTACTAGTCTCTGATCTTCCTTTTTGTGTTTCCCCTTAACCCTTGGTAACACACTGCATACTCATCACGTCTACCTATGACACCCACAAGAGCTCATTCACAGATACCCTGACTCACACACTCTGCCAGCCATAGTCACCCGCGTATTCCACCGTCCTCAATAACAACAAAAACTTCAAACATTAGAATTAGGCATTGCAATCTACAAAGAAATCGCTTTCTCACTGCCCCACACCTGCCCTCCCACCCCAATTCCCAGCTCCGGTCCTCTTTGAGAATGACCCCACTGATCCCGGTAACTCAGTAATGGAAGTTACAACAGATCCTCCAGCACGAGGTTGGAAACACCCTCTAGGAATAGTTGCAAAATGCAAGATGTTTCAGAGGCCACATTTCCTAACCCCTTCCTGAACCATTACCATAGGGAGATGGTATGTTAGTGCAGACACTGGGTGTTTTGCAAAGTTGTGGCCACATTGCCCATCAAGTCTCTCATAGAGCTTCCTGAGGCCAGAGCCCAGTTACTGAAGGCCTGGATATAAGGAGCTTAGCAGGAGGCCTGGAGCACTGTGATGAGGGGTGCAGTTCCCATTGAATCAGTATATTTAATATCTCCCGCCCCCCATCCCTTTAATTCATTGGCTCTGGGCTTAAGGACTGCTGCCATCTTTGGGCAATGTCCTGCTGTGTGGCCTACAGCAAGTGGTGTGGGCTTCCAGGCCCAGTAAGCAAGTCTAGCTGCAACTGTATCGGAAGTTTTCTCCAAACAACAAAAAGTCACATGGGGGTGTTCCTGAGCCGGTCATGACTCAGACCTGCCTAGATGTTTGCATGTCTGGAGGTATATTAAAAATGTCTCACGCTTCGCCTCTCTCATGTGCGAATCAGGACAGACTTCAAGAGCATGAGTAACCAGTATCATAGCTAAACCAGGAACAGACAATGAAATTTCTATCAGCAACTAACTTGACTTCCTTTAGAAAATGAGCATTATGTCAGTGGCTGACACCTGGCACTACCATTATGGGTTAAATTCAGATTGGTCTTACAATGATTTATAGAACTTTCTTCTACTAGAGAGTCTATCCTAATGACTCAGTTACCACTTGTGAGTGCAGGAATAATTTTAAGTACAAGCAATTTTATAGGTTTTCAGATAACCAGTATCCTCAAGTTTTAAAACATTTCAATGCAAAATCCTGTATTTTAGCAAGTAGCCAAATTATAGAAAGAAAAAAAAATTTAGTAAGAAAATGGATAACAACTGTTGAGAATTAAATATAAGCCTTATTATGTGATTAGTGTTTAAGTTCTTTTTCACCAAATAGGTGACTATAATTGATGTATGTGTAGAAACTCCTAGTGTCCAAAGAACAGTATCCTATATCTTGTCAAAGAAATCATTTGTGCATTGGGCTGCTTGGCTACTGACGTAGAAATTGATGACATTACAGATGAAGCTGTCTCAGCTCCTCAGGTGTAGCTGGCTGTGGTTTCCCAATGCAGCTCACATGGCTTTCTTCTAAAGAAATAATACATGGAGAACTAAACACTCTCGGGCTGTTGGTTTGGGGCATAACCTTTTCTTGCCAGGCAAACAAACTGCGCCGTTCATTTTAAGAAATGTGGTTTGTTTTTTGTTGGTTTATTTTCTCATATAAAATGCCAAGGCAGACTCTCCGGAAGTTCACAACCAGAATTAACTCTGAACAGCCAGAGCATCTTCCTCTACCAAGGACAGTTCCAGGGTGTTTTCGTGAGTGCTGGTTTTCATCCTGAAGCTGAAAGAACCATAGAGTTTTGCAGACTCTTTGGAAGAGGCAAACCTGCTGCGGCTATACAGCTCTCCTTTCCACATAGACATCATGAGCAGACAGGACAGAACGACACCCCCAAGAGTAAGCAGGCAGAGTCCGGCAATCACACACCGGTCCAGGTGCGCCCCCAGCCGGGCGCTCTCCTTCTCCAGACGTTCCATCTCCCGGGCCGCCACAGTGTTGGGATCCACAGTCACTTCCCGTGGGACAATATAGGAGATGATCACCAGCAAGATGCCAGTGACCAAGAACAAGATGGCGCTGATGAAGCCATAGTCCACTGACTTCCCTGAAGATGTGGCTTCCGAACTTGTGTCATCTTCATCATCAGATATCAAGGAAATGGCAGCCTCGTGGGACCACTCATTGGAATTTCCCCAATCAAGGTCTCCCAGGTGATTATTCCCTTTTGCTGAAGGGGAGCTCTGTTCCAAGTTAACATTCTCATCCACGTAGGTGAAAGAAGTTTCCAGTTCCTGGCTGCAACAATTGCAGACTTTCCGTTCTGCTACCTGTGCATTCCCTGAGGTGAGAGGTCCTGGTGGGCAGGAGTCTGGCTGAATAACACTGTCTTGCAGAGAGGAAGCAGATGATGGAGAAGGGTGAAGTTTAGAGCCTTCCATCTCGGCTGCTCTTGGTGTCGATGTACAGCGTCTCTGGCAGCAGAGAGCAGCTTTGGAGGCTGCTGCATCTGCCTGGCCAGCGGGAGATCCTCCTGAACTCCAGCCCACAGCATCGCACAAGGCTGCCTGGCTGTTCTTCCTAGCAAGATGGTGGAGCTCCATCGGGGCTACTCAGACATCCCCCAGCAGCTTCCAGAAATTCTGCCAATTACATCAAAAAACACTCAACCACCAGGAGCGCTACTGGGGAGGCCCCCATCTCCTTGGCAGCCACAGTATTGACACTACAACCCCAGGTCCTCCTAAAAGGATAAAAGAAAGGAGAGGATACCTAGTGTCAAGAGACTGTGAAAAGGGCAAATCCTCTGATTTATCACAAGGATTAACACTGGGAAACTTAGGTCAGGGTAGAAAAGGTGCGTGAAGGAAGTAGCAGTGTCTCTGAAGAAGGCATTGCCGTCACCAAGCCAAATATATCCAAGGACTCACACATTTCTGTGACAGGATCTCTCAATGAAAAAGCAGGTTTCCTGTATAGACACAAATGAGAAAGACAGGGACCTTTTTTAGCAGAACTGCTGATTTTCTGGAGAACCTGGGGAAGCACAGACTTCTCAATGATTCAGTTAAATGATAAGTGTTTTTACTCTCTTTAGTTCAGAACAGATTCTAAATACAGATTCGTTTTAGAGCATCACCATGGGTGAATGTATATGTCACTATCAGTTGGGGTCTCCTGGAGCTGGGGCTTAGCATTCTGACTGTGCAGCTCGGAAATGGGTGAAAGAAGGCTTAAAATCAGCCACTCCTCCTAACCTTGCACTGCAAACAAAACATCCGATGACCCTAGTCACCCAGCCCTGTATTTGTAAGACCCTAAGCTTGTTCATTCTACTTCCAGTCTTAGCCCATCCCCTTGCTACTACAGGAAGGCAGCATGTTCTGGACCCAGAAGTGTGTAGACAACATACTTCATTCACTGTGTGATCCCTGCAAATACTATGGGCCAACCCACGGCCACACACACACACACACACACACACACACACACACACACACACATATATCCCTGCCTGCTCCAGGGCAGGTCAGCTATTCCTTCTTGCTCACTGAGTGTGCATGGGTCTGAGCTCTTCTCCTTCTGCACGCTTTGCTAACACAGGTGCACAGGACGCTGGCCATCCAGAAACTTTACAAACCCAATCTACAAGTAAACTGACAACAGAATACAAATTAACCCCCAGAGTCAGGGTTCCATTGAGGCAAAGAGGCGAGAAACGGTCTCTGAGGTTACCTCTGGAACTTTGTATCCATGACATCCCCTCACTGAAACTGCAGCAAGGGACCTTCCTGGAACAGAAAACTATGAAGTTGAGCACAAAACCATCTGCCTGTAACACCAAGGAAAGAGGTTTCAAACAAGAGCACTTTTTATTTTGATTCCAAACCCAGGGTAGTAACTCCAGTAAACCCACAGGTGAGGCTTTGGGGTTTACCATGACTCACAACCCACAGCTCCAAAAGCTGGTAACATACACAGAAGCACAGGTAAGGCTCACCTAAGGTCAACATAGCAACTCACTTAACATATGGGAGAGGGAATCCACATGTTTTCTGCTATATATCAATATTTTTTATTAACCCACTTTCCTCCCATGACTGGAGTTTTTCTGCAGCTAAAACAGAAAACCAACAAACCATTCACAATTGCAAGAAAACCTTAACTGAACCAGAGCTTCCCCTTGGCAAATGGACAGATCTCTACTGCAGGATCCCTCAATGAACGAAGCGATGGTACCGGTTTGATTACTGAAATGAGAAATCTCACAGGTCCCTTAGACACTGGGCGCTCTGATTAACCTTTCACACGATTAACTCGTCACATTGGGCTACTTTGGATTAAATCGTAAAATCGGCAAAGTCCCTTAGGGGACTTCCAATTTCTCCTACAGAGGGAGAGAAATCGCTCCTTAATTCCCTGGTCCTACGTTTATCTTTCCTTCAAAGAGAGGCTCCGCTTGTTCCGTCGGCGATACACTGGCTGCCTGGTGGATTTCCTTCGCAGCTCCGTGATCCGGGGCTTCCACCCTGGATGGAGAATAGACAATCCCAGGGGGCGAGCTAAAGTCCAGCCTTCAGACCCCTCCCTCTCTTCCTTTGGGTTTAAGAGCGCAGGTGATAAAACTGCACATCAAAGCGAGGGGAAAGCACTTTTCCCCGTCCGTCTGCTATCGATTAAGAGCATGGATATCTGCACTGGAACTAACTGACTCGGGCGAGGCAGGTCTGGAGCAGGCGACCGCGGGATCCATCCTGCCAGCGCGGGGCAGCGGTTCCCTGGCGGCATCAATCGATCCATTCCGGGTGAACTCCTGCGCCCTCGGGAGGCACCCGGAGTCCGGCTGCGTTCGCTGAGTGGTGCCCTGAGGCTGGGCAGGCACCTTGGGCAGAGAGTGGGGACGCGCTCCCCTGCTCCGCGGGGCTCCCGGGGTCTCTCCCTCGCCCCCGCGACTCTTCCACGCTCGCTCTCAACCACTCACCTCCTGCCTTCGCCACCCAGTGCGGCTGGAGGACCGCGCGCTTGTCCCCGCAGGGCTCCTCGGAAAAGTCCTCGATCGCCGCCCGGGCACTTTTGCCACCGCACGCCACTGAGCTCCGCGCGGTGGGCAGCGCCCGCCGGCCAGCGGGCGGGGCCGGGTGGGGCGGGGCGGGCGCTCCCTTTGCGGAGCATCCCGGGAGATGTAGTCCCGGGCGGGGTGGGGGCTCCCAGTCTCTCTGCCTCCTGCCTCCCTGCCTCCCTCTGCTGCGTTCCCTCTGCCCCATCCTCCTTTGTGCCTGTCCCAGCACTGCCACACTCCTGCCTCGCACTTGAGAAGAAAGCGCTGGCTCCTGAGCTCCAGGTGGGGTCCCGCAGCCTCAGGTGTTGCCACAGGATTGTGGGGGAAGGCGTCTATATTTTAGTTCCCACTGTTTGCCAGGCAGGAGGCATATTTTGTCTTATTTAATAGTCTGAACAAATCTTCGAAGTAGGTTTCATTAATCCTCACTTTACAGATGAGGAAAGATAATTAGAGGAATTAAGTGTCTCATCCAAGGTTACAAAGACAATAAATAGTAGTCAACAAATTGTATCCAGGAAACTGTTTCTGAAGTCATTGTCTTGCCCACAAAATCAGGAGAAATGCGGTTATGGAGGATAAAAGCTTGTTCTGTTCACTGTGCATCCCCCGTGCAGAGCGCCCGGTGTTGTCGAAGTGTGAACAATAATGATGCAAAATACAATGAACATAAGTAGTATGTATGCCAGACTCGCCTGATCAGTTTAGAATCAGGTACCCCTGCTTTTCGAAGGTCCACTTAATGACACTTTGATCTTATGGAAGACCTACCCTTAGTGTCTGTTTTCACTAACTGAAAGGAACCCGAAAGCATCTTGACTTTTATGAAAAAAAGGCAAAAAGGCAGGATAGTGGTCGCCACTTGTTTGCAGCAAGCTGCTATAAAGGCAGTTCGCGCTGGTAAGTGAAACAACGTTGTGCAAATATTATTTCTACTTTATATAGATGCTCTGTTTATCATAACATTTCTTTGACTATGTTAGTGTTATTTTAGGTTTTATTTGGTAGGTTATTTTGGAAGTCTGGGAATACTAAAAAAATCTTCCCGTGTAAATTAATGGTAATTGCTTCTTCACTTTATGCCGTTTCAGCTTACGAAAGGTTTCATAAGAACGTTCTCCTTTCTTATGGTGGGTTAGGGTGGGTGCACCTGTACTTTAATTCACTTAATGGTCACAGTCAATTTTTAGAATCCTGTAAAAATCCTTAGTTTCACAGGAGAGAAAGCTGAGTTATGGAGAATCTGAGTACTTTGTGGAAACTCATACAGCTACTACTCAGCGGAGGCATGAACCGCAAACTGAACCAATAGAAGGACAAGCAGAAGGAAGAGAGAGGGATAGAAATAAGGGAAATCTGGAGGTTGAAGCTTCTGAGTGTGACTCCCAGGATAGGACAAAGGAACTTCTTGGGGTCATCAGCCTCTTCCTAACCAGAGTAGGCTGCTGCATCAAAGGAAATGTGTGGTTTGTGGATCATCTCCTAGTTTTCAGCATCACCTTTGCAAGGTTGTAGGGCTATTGATTGCTTCACTCTAAGGGGAGCAAGAGAAGGATTATAATATTTATAACACTGTGCTCTTTCTGAATGGCTCGTGTAATTCTGTGGTTGGTTGCTTTCAAGTGATAAATCAATCTCCTAGGATGATAATTTTTTTAGTTTTCCTTTATATTAATCGATTTCGCAGTCTCATAGTTCCAGCAACTTCACAGCTTCTTTAGAATCTTTTTCCCCTGTGTCTCTCTTTTAGCAAGTTAGGCCCATTTATTGTTAAGCATGGTGCGTATGTATTACCGTTTCTGCTCCTTTGCTCACTACTCTGTTCTCCAGCGAGAATGTCCTTCCTCCATTTCCCTGTTCTCTCCACCATTCAAGGACTATCTCGCTAAGTCACATTTACAGAGCTGTCTTCTGTTCTTAGTCCTATGCACGTACGTTTAAAAGGGAGCGCAAAGACACCATAGGGTGCCTAGAAGACAGCCAGTAAGAAGTTGAATTAAACTGGAAGTTATGTTGGACAAGGAAACGCTGAAGGAACTTGGGCTATTCATCCAGAAGAGGAGACTTAGAAGAAACAAAAATTAGCTTTAAATAATTTGAAGTTTGTAAAATAGAAGAGAAATGTTCTATCGTGATTAAAAAGGATAAAAGCAGAACCAATGACAAAAATAGTATTCTATTCATTTTAATCATTATCTTTGATTCTTATACCAGCCCTATAAAGGATCCAGGGTGACAGCGCCCATTTAACAGTGTAAAACTGAGGATTCAGATGCTGTCATCTGCATCCTAAAGTATGAGAACTGGTAACTCGCAGAGCCAGGAATCTAACTTGGGCCAGACCCTAGATCTCTTCACTGCCGCACTGCACTAGCAATGTTCCGTCGCCCTTTCCACAGCGGAGCATACGTACTCAAGAGGTGATAGTATTCATTGCCCTGGGATAAACACAGGGGGTTTCTCATGCTCACAGTCCTGGTGCTGTGGCTACTTCAGGCCTGAAAGGACAGCCTGGGGGGCCAAGGGAACGAATCAGCCATCAGATCTGTGATGCACTGGAACCCCTGAGGAG